TCCTTTTCATATGGGGTCCCCCCGAGAACTGATTGCAGAACAACATACTAGTATGGTTGAAACACAGGTTCATGATTCTTCATCATGCACTACAGACACTGAAGGGTCAGCTTGAAAAATAAATTCCATGTTGCCATGCATTTGTTCAGTAGTAGATCACAGATGACATCAAAATGTGACCAGTACTTCATTTCAGCAGGCTCAAAATGCCAGGACTGTGGGTTGTGATTGGTAGACCTGATCCATTCTCTTTCTTTCATTTATTCACGGTTTGTTGATTGCCATGGTAATCAACATTGGCAGAAGCAAAAAACAATCATATCACCAGTTAATTTTTGAACCTCACAGGGTGCATGTGATAAAAAGGTACAGGTATCTAACACTGCATCGTGCACATGTATGTAGTTTTCATAACATGATTCATTTTGACTACAAAGCCATCTTTCGACAAGACATAATGCTTTTCACAGAATAGATCTGTCTAGTCTAATTCTCTTGTTACAATGATGACATCTCTGGACAGATCTTTCATCTCAGTTTGCTTCAAAAGGATTTGAAACTTCTTTCAATGTTTCATTTTTACACCCTGCAAAAAAAAAATCAATCTTGTTATCTCTGTTCTGAGTTTTCAGTCAGAATGTTAATTGCTTATAACATACTGAACAGCACAGTACAAGTCATTATTTCTTTGGAACTTTCATTTCATTTGTCCATAAAATACCATACTTCTTTAAAATTAAGCTTCCATGCTCGAGGTTTCTTTTCACTGATGGTCATCGAGGGATATGGTTCCAAGCCAGTTACATGTATTGACGTTGACAGAAACCTTACATGTAGTAAGGAAAGCAGTCAAACAATCTATTATTGTCTAAGCATAACCCAGTGGCTGAATGACATACTGATAAAACTGATTTACTGATGGTTTTGTTGGGTGCTTTAGCAGTCATCTATCATTCAAATTGTGCCATTACCAATAGTTTCTCTTATGATGCATAACCCATCAGACTTGTCCATAAGTTTAGGTCAAACGCTGAGCTCAGAGCAAGAAAAATTTCAGTGGCGCTTGAAACATGAATGCGAAAAGCACAAGGTAGCAAAGTGCAAGTTTGGCTAAGTTGTCTCGCTCGCAAGTGGCTTAGTTTCTCTCACCAGCTGTCTATAATAGTATTGCTTTCAGTCTTTCAGAGCATAATGAAGACCACATAATTAACATGACTTGCCAGGGATCCCAACTCAATATCTATATAGTATATCTACATTAAAAATTCTGCGAAAGGTTAAAACTTTTCCTCCTCTTCTTCCTCTTTTTAAAATGAACAGATACATCTGAGGGTGACTGAAGAGTGATCACAAAACCAAACATTTACTTACTTTTTCACTACTTGAACCACATCTTCATCTTGCAGTACATGCTCCTTACCAACTTTTTGTGGACTGAATTTTACAGAAGAGCCCCAAACTAATGCACTGTAAAGGGTAAAGATTGATAAATATACCAGTTCACCATGTTGTACAAGTACATAACCAAGGAAACGTCACTTGCACCAGTTAGAGTTAATTCAAGAGAGTAGAGGAATTTCCACTCCCCCCTGGATGGAAGCTTCAGTAGTCCATTGTAGATCAGAGTTACCCCCAGCATTGAAGTCATAGGTATCCATTCATACCCTCCTCCCTGGCCCTGATTGAAATACACTTAACATTTGAGCACCACACCTGCCAACTTTATACATCCATGCGAGCTTTATTTTTCTACATGATATCAATTCATACAAAATTATGTTCTCTTCCGGCATGTTTTACCTTTAAATTACAATTGAATGATAATCTGTAGATAATAAAATCAAATTAAAAGATAATAATAACATTATCATTAAGAGCTAATATTAATAAATAGAACTGGCTATGTATGCAAGGGTTCCCTCAACCATAAATCACCTGTTTGTTTGTAATAGACTGGATTTATAATGACTCATGAATCGATGTTATGTGCAGGGAAATTAGAGGGTGATAAGTCTGAAATTTAGGAAATCTTACTAGTTATAATTCTGGCATGGTTATACATATGTAAGTGACTTAATAGTAGCAAAGTGTTCTTGACTAGTGACTTACTGTTTGAATTCTTTCATGATGCTCTTGTGTAGAGAGTTACAGAAATCCTCCACACTTGAAAGGCCATTTTTCAGCACCACAGGGGCCTCATAATCTGGTAGCTGACCTTTTGGCTTTGTGTATCTAGCAATGACAGAAAAAAATTCTCAAAACTCCATCTGATACTGTTTTGACACTTATGCCTTGAACAGAGACACCAAGGGATTAGTAATACATGTAGTATTTGGATAGAGTGGAGAACAATTCAGGGAGTAATTGCACAAGTTATTTCAACATCAGACACGAAGTGTGTAGCACAAGACTGATTTGAGATTACAAGCAAGATTAATTGAATTGAACTGAATTGCACTCCACTTGGTCCAGGTACTAATAGATCGTACCAATAACAAATTTGGAGATTAAAAAACAGTCTTTTACGAATTCCTTTTGAGTGAAAAAGTCAATAGTGTTTTCTATAAGTTTTGTGAACTGTAACTAAAAGAACATTATGAAGGAAGCCATTAAAGTGCAGGTAACTGATGTGCGAGTCACATTAGGTATCCAATTACAGGTATCCAATAACAAAAGGTTACAGCTGGATACCTGTAACTGGACACCCAAGTGATTGCACACTGATTATGTGACAAATAAGCGCATGGGGATCCAATCAAGATCAAGAATTTTGTTACAAATGTGATTAAGCGTGTTATAGCTAAGGCAGGGAATGTTTTAACTTAAAGTCATTTTAAATTCAGGAAAGGAATACGGGAGTTAACCAGAGATTATAATTTAATGATTATTATATTACATGTACATTGATTTGGTCACGTTCAGTACCAAATTTATCACCAATATGACAAACTGGTGGAGGCACGGTGGCCTCATGGTTAGTATGCTCGCCTACAGATCATAGGGTTTGGGTTCAAACCCTGGCCAGGGACACTGTGTTGTGTTCTTGGGCCAGACACTTTACTCTCACAGTGTCTCTCTCCACCCAGGAGTATAAAATTAAATGGGTATCAGCATATTTAATGCTGGGGGCAACCCTGCGATGGACTATCATCCCATCCAGGGGGGAGTAGAAATACTACTAGTCGCTTCATGCTAAGGAAACTGGAGATAAGTGCCAGCCTGATGGGCCACTTGGCTCATATGCAGGCTTTACATCAACAAAATCCTGAAAGCTATTAATAGAAAATGTTTTAAGTTAAAAGTTTCCACTCACATTCTTATGAGATTGAGATATTCCCAGGTCTTTTCAAGCAGATCATCAAAGTTCCACTTGTGGTGAGCTGATAATGGGACAGCATGTGGGATCCTGTAGATTAAATCTAATTCTTCGATCGATATTTGATCAATTTTGTTCAGGATATAGATGCAAGGAATGTAAACCCTGCAAAGCAAAAGAGGATTTATTTAATAATTTTTTGGTATAAATTACCGTTTCCAATGACGTTAAGCTAATAAGGCATTCAAATCATATTAAATAATTTCTGTTTTAGGGTCAAACCTCTCAATGCAACATAACTGCAAATTATATGCTATTGGTGATCTTACTGGGGATGCAAGTCCAATTTTGCAGGTTGCATAACCCTAGCTCCTAAAGGAACGTAATATGACAGCCACAACATCGGCCTAACTGATCCTTACTGTCCATGTAAGCTGAACAACACTTTGAGAACCTGTCATCAATGAAAGAAATGCACTGTAACATCTATTCACAGTATAAAATGCAAGGGTTTACCCACGCTCAACAAAGCTCTACATGTATTTCAGAGAAGTACTGCTGCCACTATTTACCTGTTTCCTTCAATGACGTCAATGAGATCATCAGTGGTGGCATCATATCTCAGGGTGATGTCGGCATTAGCAATGCGATATTCACTTAAAATGGATCTCACAGAGTCAATGTCCAGCTCTGATTGGGTGCACTGTGACATAGCAACAAAAAAAGGATATTACAAATTAAAAAATATTTTACAGATCCCATGCATTGTGAATGGTCACTGCTCTTGCAAAAAGTGTTATGTTACATGAATTACCTAAAATTGGTTGAAATATTAAATTCAGATCAAGTATGACAGTGGTTCAGGTGATATTCATACATACTGTAGTTTGGAGATTAATTCCACCCTTTTCTTTCTTTCTGAATGTAATATTTGGTGGTTCCTTGTTGAGCCTGATAAAAGCATGGAACATTTAAGTCAATAAGAGAACAAAGAAAAATAAGAGAAGGCTCTAGAACAAGATGGTCGTATCAAAAAATTGCCTTCTGAACCTCAAGGTCTCATTCACTGGCCTGCAACAAATACAATTCATAAATCATGGAGGCAGGAAACATTTTAAATACACTTACTCTCGACTGGGTATTGGAACAGTTCTACATTTGCTACAAAACAACTGGCATAGTTCTAAACATGTGATAAGCCTCAGGATTCTGGTATGCAGACTGCACAATCATGTAAATCATCATCATCATGTTCAGTGATAATGAAGATAAATTATAAAAGATTTTTATTGTTACCTTATTCCAAACCCTTCAAGTTCATATTCAATAAGTCTCTTGTGCCCCAGTGGTTTCAGCACATCAAGCACAATGAAGATCAAGCTACAGGTTCTAGCAACTGTTTTGCAAATGGAAAGAAAAACACACACATGAAATCCATCTGTGCTTGCAGGTTATCTACCTCTGCCAGTATGGATACTTTTTGACGAATTATTTGAATCATAAGAGAACATAGCTCAAACTGATGTTAGAAATGAAGAAGCAGTCAAATTCTTATAAAGCCAGTTTAAGTGCCACCCAAAAAGAATTTCGAAGGCTCTACCAAACAAAATAATTCAAAATCAAGTATAATAATAATAATAATAATAATA